CGTTGATCAGCAAGGAATTTCGCTGGAGGGAAGACAGGAAGTTCGAAGATAGGCAGAGTCAAAAGTCATTTTCTCTCTGGGTACCTTTCAAACTCACTCGCTGAATAATGCTGTTGAAGATTAAATTTTTATTATATTCTCGCCTCCTAATGCTACAAAGTTGTCCTTCAGATTGTTATAGTTATGTGAACTATCTGTTGGCAGTTAATTTTCACTATGTCTGTCTTTCTTTAACAGCTCTCAAATTCCTATAGCTTAGTAGCTACCAAACGCGACTATCAAGTCCCAGTGCGGCAGATCATACTTTAATCACGAATGGCGGGTGGCCGTGCCTACAGGGAAAACTTGGAGCGATAACATTTACACCTTCGCGACTGTAGCTGCCTACTAGTCATCTGTCCCTACTTTTCTCAAACTAATCATCACTGCGTCTGTACCTAGTGCAGAAACATTCCCTAAATGACTGGTCATGGAGGAAAAAAAGAACCAAAAAAAAACCGCTTACCATAAAAAGCTAACATACCACATGACTTGAAGTCAAACATTACGCCTCTACGATTTTAACAAATTTACTCCACAAATCTCCCGAACAAATATTTTATGAATCCATAAAATCCGTTCTCTTCATACTAGCAGTAGTCCGTGGCGAGAAAGTAAGAATATCAAGGTACGATAACCAATGATTTGCTTTTTTTCAAAGTATGTGAAACACTTGCAACCTCAAGTGAGTGCCAAAAAAAAAAAACAACAAGAAAAAAAAAAAACGAAAAAGTGGTTAGTTGCGGTGGATAGTGGGAATATTTAGATAAGAGAGAGAGAGACAGGGTAATGCCTTCAACCATGCATTGTAATTTGTAGTCTGCCACCTTCAAAGGCAAAAAAAAAGAGAAAATATGGACAAAATGTAAAGCACTGTCATCAGTCACTCATACATATATTCGCATGCATTTTTACGTAAAAAGCTATAAACTGTCATTTTGCAAAACGGAAATAACTGCAAAGAAGAAGAAATACTGTTGGTTTGTAATTTAACCAAGAAGAACGAGCAAATACGACGTAGGTACAGTTAGCATATAATGCCGTCGAAGTTGATGGATAAAGGATTGCGTTTTCATGTCTTGAAGGATGCAATCAACGTATAACGATTCGGTCTACTGCTTGAAGAAAAGGTTTTAATACGTTCAAACTTCTCATAAGGAATATCTGAAATTGGACCGAATTTATGAACTATCGATTCTCGTACTGAGTAACAAGGCCCCCTTCAATGATTAAGGCTTCACGTCAGATGCGGACGTCAAATCCCCCCACACAGATATCTGTCGTGCTAGGGAGAGTGGGTTTATTGGGCCATACACAATAAATATATCCGGTTTTCCAGTGTACTTTAAGCCCCTAGCTTATAGAGATTGTCTAACTCCCTCTAAGGCGCCGGTTACGCAAAATTAACCCGGGTATCATCAGGCATCGTGGCGTAAAACCTTCACGGGTAGAGTACCCATGTTAAATCTTCAGAGAAATCTGTCTTACTGGGGAGTGAACTTCTTTGAATTCAACGAAGTCTTCGGTTTTTATAAGAAGAAGGAATTGAATTAATAGGTTAGCAGATAATGTTCAACGCTTCCTAACTCCAATTGGACCTACAGACGTAGTTGGGATGTCAGATTTAATTCGAATTTCAAATCTCAGCCCGAAATCGAAATTCTGACTAGAAAATCCGACCGTAAGAAGGACCTGAAATTACGATTGGAATTCCCATTAAGGTTCGGACGGATATTAAGATTTGCTTTGTACTCAAAATTGGAATAGTTTTTGAAATTCCAATAAGAAGTCGAATTCTGATTTGTATCCAAGCCGGTTTATATTCTTTACCGGAGAGTGCAGCCATCGGTTGTGGCATAAGACGGAATCGGTGATTTTGACGTAATTTTATGAATGATTGAAAGTAAGTGGTGACACACATGTAGATATGTACTTCTGCCGCATGCAGCAAATGAAAGAGCAAATGTTCTACGTATCTGGGGCTGTCATGAACGATATTGTCGTCTGTTGTTGACTCGCTCAGCATGTAACAAGAAGCAGAAAACAATCTTTCTTGTTGGAAAAACATTGACATCGGCTGATTTCATTCTGTACTGTCTTACGAAGGGACTCATAACCTGCCGAGGTCCATGTAAAACGTGCGTACTCATAGACGTATCGATTCAACTGTCTGTTGAGTGAAGCTTCTACCGCTTTAAGAAACTAGCATTGAAGGGTAAAGCGTGCACCTTGTTAGATGTGCTCTGTTTAATATTCAAGTTAAGGTTAAGTTTGGAAATTGGAAAGATATGCCTATAAAACCGACTAGTGGAGTTAAAGTTTCCGTACAAAGTGACTGAATCATGGAAAAATTGTAATATCACTAAATGAATTACGATCTTATGATTTAGCCAAATAAATATCAGATCCTTCTGCCAGACCTTTTTGGTGGAGATGATCTAAAACTAATTTAGCTTTCCTTTTAGCTTCGTTTTGTGCTCTGCACCACTTATGGTACAAGGATGAGGATGTATGCAACATACAGAACGACTTGACCTTGGACAACATACCTTCTATTATACTGATGTATACTGACCTAGCTTGTCTGTCCGTCTGCCTGCCGTGTTTTTTTTCTTCAACGTGCAGAACGCAATTTCTGAGATATTTTTGATGGAATTTGCTATGTTGAGGATTTCGGCCCAAGGACAAATACTATTGAAAATGGTTCGGATCGCACAACTTTTCTTCGATTACTTTCCATATAAAGCTTTACTTTGACAAGACCATATGCATAGTTTACCCATAGTTCGACTTTTCGAAGGTATTATGGATATTTTAACAACATTCTAGGCTTCTTGAGAGTTGCAGGACTTTGTACATAACTTTTTACATAACTTAACTCGTCAATAAAAATATGTGCCGCCGTGGATGAAATATTTTTCGAACGTAAACATTCCTCTTCTATGTAAATGTATATATATAATAGGTTGGAGGGAAAGTTCTGTCGTATTTTAAATAGGCAGGTAATTTTTCTTGCAAATAAAAAAAAAACATCTGGCTAGTAAGTCATTCGGATTTTTTTTTCTTGTTTTTTTAAATGCTGCATAATATAAAATGAGTCTTTCTTTACCGTTCAACATTTACGTGTGATATTTAAAGTGAAAAACATGTCAGCAGATAAAGTGCATTTACGACACTGTCTTTTTTTATGAATTTCAAAAAGGGAAGCAACGCATCGGTTGCATGTAAAAATTTATGTGCGCTATTTGGAAAAGATATTGTAAATGTTCGTACTTGTCAAAGATGGTTGAGCAAATTTCGTTCTAAGAATCTGAGCCTCCAAGAAAGTGATCGATCTGGACGACCATCCAACATCGATAACGATGTTTTGCGAATGTTTTGCGTTTGGAAAATAATCCACACATTCATCCCAGCTTACCTGGAAGATGGCAACAGGTTGTAACAAATAACGGAGCATATATAATTGATTAATATTAAATACGTATTTTTATAAATGAATTCAAATATTTTCTTAAATATACGACAGAACTTCCCCGCCAATCTATTATAATAAAGCTTAAGACAATAGGAGATTTTTCTTTCCTATTTTAAGTTCGAGAACCGTGAGTTGAACATCGAGTAGAAGAGAGCCAAATCAAGAAAAATTTTCTATCAAATATATCTAGTATTGAATAATAAGAAGCTCACGGTCGAGAGATAGTGATAGAAAATTACTAATAGTGACCTGATGACATCTAAGGTGTACCAAAATTCAAGTTTGCCTTTAGTTAAGAAGAAAATTATTTCGAATTTTATGTTCTATTTTCTTCTTCTTCTTCCACTTTATCTGTAAAACCATGACGTTTTCTAGAAAGAACATTTGTTGTAACTTTTTTTTTTTTTTTGTCTTTTCTTTACTTTTCAGCTCTCTGTTGGCATTGAGAATGGTAATCTAGAATCATATAATTCGGATTTTGAGCTACAATTCAGTCATCCACTTAAGCATATTGTTGGTATGTGTCGTGTTATACATAAATCGAATAGTGGCAAACAAGTTGGTAATGGTTTTATGCAATTAAAAAGTCACCACCAACAACAACAACAGCAACAACAACAGCAGCAACAACAACAACAACAACACAATCATCAAAATCATAATGTTAGCCAGGGGGGCAGCACATATAGTAGTGGTCAGTATTACACAAACACCGGCTCAAAGTCAACATTGAAAACTTCAAATTCTTATGGTTCGTTGTCGGCCAGTGCAGCCGCAGCAGCCATAAGTGCTGCACAACGTGAACAACAACAACAACAACAACAGCAACAACCGCAGTCAACGGCTAGTAATAGCAGTGGTAGCGGTGGGGTTGGTGGCGACAAGAGTAACGAGCAAACCATACCAAATAATTTCATGGAATTTAATGGACCCCTAACGGGTTTGGTGTATTTAATGAAAGAGCCACGCGACCCTTTACTACATATTTATTTGTTCGAATGCGAAGCAGTTGAAGAGGTAAGAAAACGGAAAATTTATGAAAATCAATTAAAAAGCTTTTTATGACCTTTTTCCGTCATCATTCAAAACTTGTGTGTTTAACGGACAATTCTGCAAAAAAGGAAAAAAAAAAAAACAATAACAAGAACAAAAAAAATACCATTTTTTCCAACAATCATAAAATACTAACACAATTGCATTTTTGTTTTTTCCTTTTTCCGGGCGGTCGATTAATGGCCTTAAGCAAACATATAGACACATATACAGGTTTTTCTACTTGCTAGGATTCTATAACAAAGGATACGAAGGTCCTATACAAAGGGATAATAGTTTTGTTAAACTGTTTGCTATTGCTCAGCAAACCTATGTGATGCACATACTTGCGATTGCCATTAAAACTAGCGATGTCCTTCTAAGGATCCTCTCGCTGTTGATAGACTTAAAAATCATATATTCTATATATATATCGCCTCAATCGCCTAAATCGCAAAAAATAGTTGGCATAAGGATTAACGGAACTATGCGTTTTTAATCAGAATGGTTGTAAGGATCAAAGTCGCAGCCTAAGCTTAAGTGTTACTTAGAATAAACTTAACAGGACTAGAGACTAAATTTATGTGGGGAATGTTTTTTTTTTTCAAATGACCAATCACTCAGGGGATGTCGTCTATCCATGTAACACGGTAACGGCGAAAAAGAAGAAAAACCGAAAAGAGGAAAAGATATAGGTAGGTGACCGCACCCTAGTGGGTCTGTATGCCCAACCAGTGAATGCTTTGCCTTTACCGGCTCACTACGCTCACTACAGCTACGACCAAAGTAAACTTCACCGCACTGAGATTTTAACTCTCGGACCAAATTATTCGGTCGCTATTGTATAGATAACATAGTGAGAAAATGACAGCACGCTGAATAAGAACAAAGAGTACGGCAAAGTGAATTAAATAAATTAATGCAACTATAGATTAGCATCCAACAAAAGCCATTCATTTGAGGACTACTATAATGAAAAGAGGAACATGTAATTAAATTAAATATGTGTAGTTAAACTAAATTGGAATATGTTATACTGTTACCAATGAAGTTTGTGATCGTGATCAATATTATAATACCTAGGGTATGGAGATACGCCAGAAAGTTACCATTTCCGTGTAAGCACACACCTATCGCTCTCGTGTTCCACGTGGGAATGTGGATGACACACGGAATAGAAAAGAATGCGCATTCAACGCCACGAGCGTAATAGTTCTCGCATAATATCAAAGGGTTACCGCGAATATAATTACGTTCCCAATTGCCAGACGGAGATACGTATATCGACATATTGCCCTCGCCATGGCACTATTTACAACCTCTCGTGCCTTCCCGTGGGTAAGGCGCCCATTTGACATGCAACTCTACACTAGGTAAAAGCTTTTACCGCAATTGGGGCTAACTGCAGCCATCACGAAACTCCCGCGTTGGGCCGTTCCCCCTGCCAAGCAGAAGGAGTAAAATTTGCTTTAGGGGGCGTCTAGCACCTGTGGTGTCAGAAATAAATGACAACAATACCATGAGAGAAGAAATAATAAAAGCCTATGGTTAGCCTTTGCGTCAGGCCCCATACAATCTGAAACTCGGCATGCCACAGAATCTCTAGATGAAACTGCGGAAATATACAATCAGCCAACATAATACAAATGGACATTGTACTGTCACTCAGTGGGAGGAGGCGTGCGTGTAAGCGTACAATCTCATCAGATGAGTCCGATTCCCTAATAAGATCGATCCGTACAAGTAAGTGTTACGCTTGCCGTCAGCTCGTTTTCTTGCATAATATTGCATAACTTCAGTGTATTCATCTTAGGTGGCGCCTCCCTACTGCAGTCACCGATGTACTTGACTTATATAAAACTATATATTGCAAAAACAATCTGGTTTTAGAATTTAAAAAAATATTAATTTAATTTAACCGGCGCTTATGTGTGTGAGGTGTTTATCGCCCCCACCGCTTAAAATCTAAAATAAATGCTGATTTACCTGAGTTGTGAAGAAACCTCTTTAGGTTACGGTACGAATTTCAATTATCTGGGGTGCGCAAAAGTATGCTGTAAAAATGATTTCAATCGAACCCTTGACATACTTTTAATTAGAGGAAAACTTCGCATTTCATTGCATGGCAAAATACATATCGACGATAGCTTACCTCATCATAAAGTAATTCATGAATTTCATTAGCAGGCACATTGACCACCCACATAAATAAGCAGATCGCAACGGACCTGCAGCTCTTTATGTACCTAAATTATTATTAATAAAAAAAAAAAAAACTACATTAACGGGGTTCCTATCCCTATCTCTTTCATCTTATTGGGATATGGAGCAGCGTTAAAAGGGTGTTTATTATGGCGACATACTTGAGGTCAATTCCCGGCGCTTTCGACCGCACTTGCGATAGTTGGATTTGTGGGTACAGTCGCAGCGAGTATTTGATCTCTACACGCATTCATCTCCCAGGATGCAGTCGCACTCCATTCTTCTCTTCCTACTTCTTTCTACGTGGCCACAAGCGTGCTTATATTCATATAGGGGATAACATTTGAGTAAAAGATCATGTAGAAGCGTATTGCTCCTAGGCTGCGGCCGCTCTCCATTACTTTCTCTCTTTCACTGGTCATAGAAATTTCTCGAGTATTCCGTGCCCTTTCAACTTAGGAACAAAGAACGCAAGCGACTGGTGCCAAAGCACAAACGTACGTAGCGCTTCGTTTTCGTCTGTCCTAGGCTAGGGCATATTTGAGAAGCATGCTTTTCATATAATAAAATATAAGAAAATAGAAGAAGAATAACAGAAAAGCCAAGTAACATGCTAACGGTCATCTTAATGGACATCGGAAGAAAACAGAAATGCACCGGTTTCTTGCAAAATATCCTTCGATATAAAGGCATCCGAAGATGACATCCGAAGCCCTAATCTCAGGCGAGAACAGCGGAAGTAGGATCGTATACTGAGAATGAAGAACCCATAAGGATCTATGTCGAACTAATGCGAAAACGGTTCCGGAATGACTTTGACTCCAGTGTATGGGCATTAATTTTCAGTACGCTGTCATTATCTACGGAAAAAAAACTATCCATTTCTTCCCGCTTCTTTTTCTTTGACGGAAAAAATTGCTTATACTCGAGTACTCGACGAGTCGAAGAGTCGACGAGTCTGTTAAATGTCTGTCCATAGATTTTCGTGCTCAACCTACAGTTCGCAATTTTTGATGTTGCCAGCCCCCTAGGGGACATTAGCAGTACTAAAGTGGAGTGAGCTGACATCACCGCCTGCTGAGTAGGAACGATGTTTTGAACGGTGTCCTATTGTACGTCTGAGTCACGCTTGCATTCTTACGACGCAGACCTGAAAAGCTTAGTTGTTTCTTGAATGGCCTTGAAGGCGGAGATATCGGCACAATTTCGATATGGGATTCATATTCGGTTACGAAGATGAGAAGAATCTGTAGCCAACAACGAATATTACCTTGAATAAAATATTCTCTTGAAATATACCCTTTTTCCCATAAAAAGCTGGCAATGACTTATCTATAAACTACGTTAAACTAGGACTTTTGTCATATCTGGCATAGACGTTCATGTTATTTTTTGCTTATGGTTAGCTAAAGGGGTTTAAGTTTAGATGTGAATATGTTACGTTATATACTTGGATATCTGTTACATTTAGATTAAGGTACGTGAGGTAAACGAGTGTAAAGTTCGCGTCTATTTTTGCTATAAGTATCTCATGTTAATGGGTGTGTTTGGTAATAATGCATGTCCTCGATCATAGCAGTGTTCTCGATCTGCTTGTGGAAGTTATAATGAACTTCCCAGTATAAGAAATTTGAAAGACAAATGGCTTACTTCTTCGTATCGCTTGGAATCTTCGAAGACCTCGAAAGGATACAGGTTCTTAGGCGTAATCAAATTCTGAATCGATTTAAGCATGGCCGTCTGTCTGTCTGTCCGTCCATAGAATATCCGTCGTAAACTTTCTTCTTCCCGTAAAAATGAACTTATCGACTTTAAATTTGGCAGAAACATTGGAAGTTCTTGTACGTCAAGTTGGTGTAGCAAAAGGGCCAAATCGTTCGAAGGACGCGCCCACATTAACATGTAAACTGAGAACAGCTTCTTTTTGTGAAAAGGAATAAAAAATTTATTTTTTCCTCATTACTCATCAACTGGAGCGGGTAAATGTACATAAATTTGAACGAATATATTATGGGCGAGGTTGTAGTATCCATACAAAAATGGAAAGAGTTGACCACGCCTACTCAATATTGTAGAGTGTCAAAATTTAATTTTCTCCAATACAGACGCAGAAACAAGCTTCAAAAGCTTGATCAGTTTCCTATTTCAGATGCACCCAATGTATGTCCGTCTGTCTATTTGTCCAACTGTATATTTTATATGGTGAAGATTCTCCCGCTCGCCTACAAATTTTCAAAAGAATTTGGAAGTGACCTAATCTACAGGCCTACGCAACGAAAACTTTTATTTCGAAAATATCAGCCGCGCCCACTCCGTATTATAGAGTATGAAAATTTAATTCTTTTACCTACTTTGTCTGTTTTAGGATAACGGGGATGGGCATAAAAGATTCGACCATGACTAAATATAGTTTTCTTTCTTACATTGTTAATTTAATAATCCATAATATCTCTTGGGGTTTTCATGTCTGCCGCTCTTCGGACATTTTCTGTTAATCTTAGGGCATCATCTCTTTGTAATATTACGTGGAATCTATTTGTCCGTCGGGCTGGTAATGCGTATACTTTATGATTTGAATATATTATGTTGGTTTAGTAGTTGAAATGGGGCGAACGAAGAATGCTTACAGATTTGAAAGGGATGCTTTTGCTTGTTCGATAGCATGTTATTTTTTCCTTTAGTGCCGCTGTTGGTGATGGGTATTTAAAGGTGCTTTGTAAGCTGAGCATAATTTCTTTTTCATTGTAATTTTAGGTTATTAACTCTTTGTATAGCTCAATGCA